AGCGACGTATGGATGCCCCACAGAAAGGGAATGAATGAGGCACAGTAATTCCACACAAAATGCCTGGTGGAAGCATCGCTAGACAAGAAACAAAGGTCAGACTGAGCCTCACAGGTCTCTGTCTGACTTCCCCCCCTATATTCACTGTGCAAAATCTACATGTGTAGCAAAGACAAGGAACTTATTTTAATAGGCTATTTATGTGCTTCATTGCTGGGGCGGGGAGGGTTTGTCGCTCCGTAGTGAGGACTCTGCTTTGCATGCAAACGGTCCCAAGTTCAACACCTGACATCTCCAGGTAGGGATGGGAATAACCCCTGTTTGAGAGCTGCTGCCAGTCAGTGTAGACAGCAGTGGGCTAAATGGGCCAATAGTCTGTCTCAACAACAACAACAACAACAACAACAACAACAACAACAACAATAATAATAATAATAATAATTTATTTATTCCCCGCCCATCTGGCTGGGCTTCCCCAGCCACTCTGGGCGGCTTCCAAAAAAAATATTAAAATACTGTAATACATCAAACATTAAAAGCTTCCCTAAACAGGGCTGCCTTCAGATGTCTTCTAAAAGTCTGGCAGTTGTTGTTCTCTTTGACATCTGGTGGGAGGGCGTTCCACAGGGAGGGCGCCACTACCGAGAAGGCCCTCTGCCTGGTTCCCTGTAACTTGGCTTCTCACAGTGAGGGAACTGCCAGAAGGCCCTCGGTGCTGGACCTCAGTGTCCAGGTAGAACGATGGGGGTGGAGACGCTCCTTCAGATATACTGGACCGAGGCTGTTTAGGGCTTTAAAGGTCAGCACCAACACTTTGAATTGTGCTCGGAAACATACTGGGAGCCAATGTAGGTATTTCAAGACTGGTGTTATATGGTCTCGGCGGCTGCTCCCAGTCACCAGTCTAGCTGCCGTAATACAATGCAGCTTCTCGGGTTTCCATGTTTCTACCATCCACTTACATAGCTGATCAATTGTGAGTTTCCTGTATGCATCTATATGTTTTCTGGGTGACCTCAAGACTCAGCCTCTCTCAACCTAACCTGCCTCACAGGGTTTTTGGGAGGGTAAAATGGGTTCTGTGTGCACCTCTGAACTTCTTTGAGGAAGAACAGGATATAAATACAATAACAATAATAAGGTATAAAGATACTATAAAGGGGACATTCCAAATAAATATAGATGTCTGCAAACATCTTCCTCTATCTTCCCAACAAGGGGATTTGGGTTTACAATATTATTTATTTACAATAAAGAACCAACCGCATTTCTGCTCCACAACACTTCTGTGGTCTACTTTCTGCATGCATTAAAGAGAAAACAATACTCTGAGTTGTAAATCTGAGTTCTCTTGCCGTTTCCTTTCAGATATTTACAACATACAGATAAAGTAGCAGAAGACCCATTGCACAGATGGCCACAATCAATAAGTCTACACCAATTGTCGTTAAATGAGAATGTCAGCTCTGAGTTTTGTAGCTTAACATTGGAATCTATCGATGTTTGCTTGCTTGTATTGTATTTTTCTATTCCTTATGTGCTAGTATGAATTAATCTCAGGAAAAGTGAATGAATCATCAAATTAAATTATTAATAAGTGAAGGGTTTTTCCCCTGAAGCCAGGAAACAAGCAAAATGACAGGGGTTTCCTTGCCCATCAATGATGGAATTCTACACCATGTTTACGTGCATTTCACTTATTTATTTTCCAAAAGCTTATACATTTGTCAGTGAACGTGCCCAATATAGGATTGTAATTCAGTCTACAGTTCAGGTTTGTGTAACCTCAGAGTAATCTTGAAAACTGTTACAATAGAGATGGTTATATTTTTCTTGATCCCCTGTTATTAAGGATTCACATTCCTGTATACGTATATAGATATGCTGCTCTTACTGTTCCTACTCTGAAGAGATTCCATATATGACACCCTCATCTCATCACACACAGGATGCCAAGGACAAAATTATTATTGTCCTGCAAAGCTATTAATTGGAATAGCCATTGCACTGTTATTAAAGGAAGAAGCAGAGATGAGGAACAACATACTAATAGACAGGCGAGTCTCAAAGTGAATCCTGATTCAAATCATTAGGAAGCTGGCATTAAAGGATTTCTGCTGCTCAATCATCATTCAGTTATTCAACATCATCAGCCATTCATATATGCCCACTGCTTTTAGACATGACAGTTAGATGTGGCCAGACAAACGGGGGCTATGCTTGTCGACCGTTGCTAATATCAATCACAATGTATTTTGTATATTTAAACATGAGAAAGTACTGAGATGGAAAGCCCCCCAAAATGGGTAATTTCTCTTGCTAATGGACTGTGAGGAATATTCTGGGGTGAGCACCCTGTCTGTCAGAAGCTAAGTGAGTCATTTGACAGGATAACAAATTGGCTTCTCCATCCAGAGGTGATACACTAGAAAATGAAAAAAGAGCAAATCTCTCCATAATGGACCTTCTGGAAAGTGATGCATTATGAATGGCGAGCAAGGAACCAAAACACATTTGGGTAGCTGTTGGATTTGTGGCAGGAGCAGCAGCAGCAACAGCATCTGAGGCCTGGAGACCGGACTTTTCAAATCACCCACCCATCCGCTCTCAAACTTCCATTCATTTGCCAGTGACTTAAAAAAAACCCAACACTGTGTATTCTTGCTTACTGACAGCCACCTTGGAGGCCAGCTATCATGTCAGGCAAAGAGGTGGGATATAAATGAAGCAACTCCCTGGTCCAAGCCCATCTTTTATCACTAAGCCTAGGTACATATAACTGAGTACAACCAGGGCTCCCCCCCCTGCAGCCAGAACTCATAGAATCATAGAGTTGGAAGGGACCCAAGGGTCATCTAGTCCAACCCCCTGCAATGCAGGAATCTCAGCTGAAGCAGACATGACAGATGGACACCTGTTTAAATACCTCCAAGGAAGGAGAGTCCACCACCTCTCATAGGAGTCTGTTCCACAGCCGAACAGCTCTTACTGTCAGAAAGCTTTCCCCCCCAAATCTTTAGTCGGAATCTCCTTTCTTGTAACTTGAAGCCACTGCTTTGAGTCCTACCCTCCAGAGCAGGAAAAAACAAGCATGCTCCTTCTTCCGTGTGACAGCCTGTGCTGGGCCTGGGGGTAACCCTTGAAACACGGTCCAGGACTGGTCCAGAATCCGGAGGTTCCGCTAGGAGTCAGTCTAACAGGGCCAAGGAAGGATATGAGGCAAGAAACCAGGCAAGGACAGGTACAGGATCTGGCATACAGCAATGTTGCTCCCGCAACCTGGGGCAGGGTCCGTCAGGCTTTTATCTTTGTCGGGGTAATGGCCAGTCCTGATCCCCCGGCAACTCACTTCCCTGTTTCGCCCGAAGGTGAGCACTTCTCCTGCGAGTACTCAGGTCTCTCCTTCTCTCAGACCTTAGTCTCTGCAGCTTGGGAGACGTCAGTGGGTTACTAGACCCAGAGGCCGCCTCAGCCTCCCCTGACCCAACCGGTAGTGGAGCAGCTGTAAGTGATGGCCCAGCTGAAGGCAACAAGGTAATCCTTGCATCTGGAGCCAGGGCAGGCTCAGGCTCCTGACTCGGCCCAGCTGGTGTTTGTTACAGGGGAACCTGTGCAGACTGGGATTCTTCAGGATCAAGCCCCAGGCTTGGTTCAGGTGATGCCTGAGGCAAAGGATCCGGTGCAGACTGAGACTCCTCTGGTTCCAAGTCTGAGCCCGAGTCCCAGGCCATTACACAGCCTTTAAGATATTTGAAGGTGGCTATCATGTCTCCTCTTTTCCAGGCTAAACATACCCAGCTCCTTCAAGCACTCCTTGTAAGGCTTAGTTTCCAGGCCCTTGATCATCTTGGTCACCCTTCTCTGCACACATTCCAGCTGCTCAACATCCTTCTTAAATTGTGGTGCCCAGAATTGGACACAGTATTCCAGAACTCAGTTCTGGCTCCTCTCAGGTAGACACCATTATAAGAGAATAACGGAGATCAGACTAAACATTCATCTATTCCATCATTCTGTTTTCACAGTGGCCACTCAGATGCCTATGGGAAACCCACAAGAAGGACCTAGGCAGAATAGTATTCTCCCTCCCCTTCCTCTCTTGGTTTCCCATTTGTCTGTCTTAAGATTGCAAGTCACCTTGGGTTAGAAACCTGCCCTCTACATTCTTTGTAAAAGCTGGATACAACCCCATAAATATTACAGAAAGGCACTTTTACCGGACAAAGAATGTTGTAGGTCAGGGATGGGGAACCTGTGGCTCACTGGATGTTGTTGGACTCCCATCATTCTCACCATGACCAATGGGCAGGGATGATGGGAATTGTTGTCCCAAAACATCTGGAGGGCCACAGCTTCCCCATCCCTGCTGTAGATGGAAATGACTGTGCTTACTGCTTATGACATCTTCATTGCACTGCCCAAGATGAACCAATGAATCTGGTGAAAAGCTAGTAGTGGGGTGTGTATTTTGTCTCTGTTTCTGTGACTGTACAGATATATTATAAACTTCTCAATGTAGAATGCCCACCATGTGGCACAGGTTGATCCCATGGCAAGACAAAGACCTAATGGTAGTGCTGGGCTTGCAAAGGACCCAACCAGTCCCCTAGTTTTTGCAAAGCAGAACGGGTTTCACTGCAGTCTGGCTCCGGCAAACCATTCACTGGGAAACAAGAGGAGCCAAAGCAGCAAGACCCTCATTTTTGCAAGAATTAATCACATAGTTCATGGACAACCTCTTTCTCAAATGACTAAAGCAACAGTGATCTTGTGACACTTCCTTTTTTTTAATGGCACGCTCCCACAAAAATAAGTATAGGGTTAAAATATATCCATTATCTCCAGAACGTTTAGCACCTGTTGTCATTTCTTTTGGGAATCAGTTCTAGTGAATCCTTGTTTGTGAAGCTGCATGGCCTGATCCTCACATCTTTGCATATTGTTAGTGCCAGTGATTTATTATGAATGACAACTACCAGTTTCTTAGGATTGTTACTCACGTGGCTGTCTCTTCTTTCTCCTTGACCAGCTGTGCCTCTTCCTGTTGTGTTGCCTCAGCAGGCTTGTCAGCTGGAGGGGGATCGGGTTCTTTTTCTGGAGGCCCTGCTGCATCTAAAAACAGGTGGTTGATAATAACCGTTAAGGCATTTATTACAGAAAGCTGATGTCAGAAAAGCTTATGGTGGTTGTTGGCACACAGGTTGAAGCAAGGCCAGAAATTGAGTACCAGGCAGGTGAAACAAAGTAGGTACTCCAACAAGGGAATGATAGGAAAGTGACAGGAAATATCATAGCTGGGACTGTACAGGTACTGAGGAATCAAAGGAGGTACACCAGAGAGGAGCTGGATGCTAGCAGACCTGTTCCAGGTCAGGCCCTTGGAAGAAGACTGTCAGATTGGAAAGTGGCAGAGATCCAGTAAAAAAGGGGAAAGTAGCATTCCATTACTGATCGTGGTACACCTGATGGTAGATTCTATCTGTTTTCCAGAAATACAATTTATAGATGTAGTGAAGTAGCTGCAATTTGCTCTTTGTGAAAGCACAATGAGTGTAGAGGTTTTGAGCTTATATCTTAGCATTTATTAAGCTAGGCTAGAATGCTAATACAGTGATACCTCTGGTCGCGGACGGGATCCGTTCTGGAGGTCCGGTCGGATCCCGAGGTTTCCGCAACCTGAGGACCACTTCTGTGCATGTGCGCATGGCGAAACCTGGTAAAATACTTCCAGGTTTGCCGTGTGCGCACCCCGAAGTTTACATAACCAGAGGGTTACGTAAATGGAGGTTTGACTGTAGAGGGCAGTGGTCTGTTGGAAGGAACCCTCTATTTGAAAGACAACCAAATCCCAAGCCAGGTTTAAAGATAATGAGTGACCAGAAGGTGGAGAGCAAGCAAGATAGTGAGCAGGGGCCTAAAAGTTGGCTTCAGATTTAGAAGGCCACCTAATCACAATCTGTTAAGGGTGCTGAGAATGGCAGCTCTGGGGGATAACTTCAGTTCCTAGGATTCTTCAGAAGAAGTCATGTACTTTAAATGTGTGGTGCATAAGCAGCTATGGTCACTCAGTGAAGCTGATGACTGACTAGGAATTTGACCTTGGCATATATTTGGTCCTAATTAAACATTCTAGCTACTTCGATTACAGGCATAACTGGAAAACCAATAGGATGTGGCCCGTCAACTGCATCAACTCTTATTTTTATTAAAAACTTGGACTCATTCTGATGTATTTATTATTCACTTTATTTTTTTCCTAAGAAAATGAAATGGCATTTCTCCAAGAAACCTGGTGTTGGGCTAGTTCTGGAACTTTTGAATTTTCAAATAGTTTTAGTTTAAAAGATTGGAGAGATAAGATTGGAAATCGTGGGCTCAAAGAGCCTGGAGAGGTCCCCCCCCCCCGCTTTTCAAATGAATGTTCATAGGAGATGGTGAAATTGAGAATATCACCCACAGGTATATCATGACTTAGTCATACTGACAGAGTGACGTTTATAAGATATGATTATTGTCACACTAATAATTGCTGTTGCATTTCATTGCTTTTCTTGGATTTGTGTTTCCACAAAAAGCATGTAGAGCAGCCTTAAACAACACAGTTGTTAATATAGGTATGAAATGCAAATTTGAGGGTGTGTGTAAATGAGTCATGGAGAAAGTGTCCTTTAAGATGACATTTAGCTATCTTGAGATGATTAATTTCTATAATTAATTTTCATTCGTATTTTAACTTTAATCTTAAAAATATATATGGTATGAAACCATCGTCATTATGATATCATTGTGATACTTTGCCTAAAGCAGACATAGTCTTAATAAGTGCCATGAGTTTGTCACTGTTAGTCAAAAAGCCTTGATGACCATTGCTATTATTCACACCTAAAGAGTTTGGTTGCCAAGTCAAAATAGTTGTTTGAAACAAAAAACACTTGGGGGGAAAAACTTAGTCCATGCTGCATGTCCATAAGTAACAAGTCAATATTAGTCTACAACCTTGAATTCCAGTGATTGAATGATATCTAAAGGAGTATATGACAGGCTTCTCAGCACTTCCCACAATTATTTGCATTGCAGCCTGAGAAACCCCTCCTCAAACTCAAGGAAACTGTCAGAACCTCATAATCCAATGCACCCTTTGCTCGGAAGGAAGTCCCATTAAGTTCTTAATCATTTCAGGAAAAATGGGTGGAGGATTACAGCTTAAGAGGCGCTTGGATGCTAGTCTAGGTCACTTATGTGTGTGCCAGTTTGGGTACAATATGCTTTGTTTGTGGCAAAGTTCTTAGAATAATTCCCATGGGCTCCTATGAAGGTGTGTGGTACAGTGAGTAGTGTGCCAGATTTTGAGGTGGAAAATGGTCCATGTATGAAGCTCCTCTTTGCCAAGTCTGTTATGTCACAGCCTAGCCTGCTTCATAGGTGGGTTGTGAAGCAAAAAATGTTCCTTGGGTCCCTTGGAAAAAAGACAGGATATAACTGTAGCAATATTTTTTTTAAAAAAATAAAAATAAAAATAAATAAATCTAGAAGGTATAGTAATTTGTTCATATATCTCAAAATTACACATACTTCTGTTTAGGAATTCAAGCCATCTGAAACTACCAAACTTCTACATTTTACTAATCAGTTCTAATGTTAATTGCTGACATTAACGCTGATGAAATGTATTAAGGAATATTTTATTGTGTTCTTTCCTCTCACAGCAAATGAAGAAAATGGTGATTAAATCAGATTGAATTGTCTTTAGAAGAATCTTGAGTATTATGGAAACGATGGAGAGAATCAGCTAAGTGTATACAGTGCAAAGTATCGATATATTAAGTATGCACCTAGTGTTATTTGAAGCAGGGAGCATACCCTCCAACATTTCTCCAATGAAAAGAAGGACATCCCATTCCATAATGATAATTTTATACCCCACATATCCTACTGGGTTGCCCAGTAAACATTTTTTAAAACTTCCCTATACAGGATGGCTCACTGGTCGGATAACTCCATACCCTCCAACATTTCTCCAATGAGAAAAGGGACATCCTAAGGAAAAGTGGAAGATTCCAGGATCAAATCAGAAACCGGGATGGCTTCTCTAAATCAGGGATGTCCCTGGAAAATAGGGACACTTGGAGGGCCTGAAGGATCTGTCATCCTTGAAAAATCACACACATATTTCCAGTTGCTGCTTATTAACTATAGTAATTGAATTCACTCAAATTGTAAATGCTTCTATGCACTGCGATGTCTTTAAAGTTGATTGGTTGGTAACTGAATTATAGAGAGTGCTCTAGTAGTGCTCATGTGGTTGGCTAACATTGGTCACCAGAGATGTATCTAGTGAAGGAGAGACTCTATTTTATGTGAAGCAAGATGACTGTGTTTTAGAATCCACTGTGAACACTGCTAAGTTGAATAGAGTGTTGGAGTGCTTCTTCTCTGCTTGAAAGAAATAGAGCAAAGCTGCAGGAGAAGGTTAAAGTGGAAATCTCTCATTGGAGCTGTAATGGCCTGACTGAGATACAGAAGGCTGAGCTCTGGAAAGAGAGGAAAATACAGTTGTTTGGAAGCTAGAAGAAAAGACTGTGAACCTGTGCTTGGAGAAGCATGTGACTGCAAATATTATGTTCATCATTTCGGGTTTATTAAGTCTGACTTCACAGCCACTGCTCTTATGGGAGAAGGAGGAGACAAGGAGCTACCTATGCATATGAGAATGATGTCTTCTACATATGAGAATGATGTCTTCTACGCTTTCTGCTTTCCTTCGGTCTCTTTGGCTGTGTGTGGAGGATGATAGAATACAAATGCAGCTCTCATAGGTGCTGGAAGCAGGAGAGGATGCAGGATCCATCCTTTTCTCCTTCCATCTGCCGCTGTTTGGATTGTAATCTAATATTCCCTTTCATGGGTTAAAAAGACCAAAGAAGATTTATGGACAGCAGGGGAAATCACATATACAAATAGAGCAGAATTTCCATGTCAACAATTAGAAATGAGGATTAGCTTCCCACATTTTAGCCTTTCGAAGCTAAAGAAGATTTATCAAGAAGCAAGTTTATCAAATCAAGCCGAGCTCTGACTAATCTTTAATGACAATGTATATGTTTCTCTGAGACCAGAAGTCTGCATAGTGGCTGGTTGAAAGAATGGAGAGTAAGTGATGAGTGTCCAGGACAAGGTGGTGAGGAATTAAAGTTGATACTCAAAGGACTCTTTTCATTGACTGACATTGCTCTCTGAGCTGTAACGCTGAAATACTCGCTCTGCTGAGCATTCATTAGACTATCTGCCATCTCTAAAATCCTTCAACTTCCATATTTTTTGAGACTTCTTTGCTTCAGTCCTCTCTCTCTCTCTCTCTCTCTCTCTCTCTCCTTCACCCCCCCCCAAACCAAGCTGGGTGGAAACCACTTTGCCACAGACAAAGTCACAGTAGTATCTTTGAATTTTACAACCACGTGGTAGCAATGTAAATTATGTTGACTTTTCTCTTGGTACCCTGAGAAGCAGATTTCACAGTGGATTTTTTCCCTTTTCTTCCAGGAATATGTTGCAGGCTTTGTCTTGTTCTAGATGCTTACAGGTCTCTAAGTGACCCTGTGCACATAGGGTTGCCATATGTCTTCTTTTTCCAGGACATGTCCTCTTTTTTTCATGAGAAAACTTCATGGGTAGAGTCATCATAGAGACCCATAGTTAAAAGTAAAGGTAAAGGGACCCTTGACCATTAGGTCCAGTCGTGGCCGACTCTGGGGTTGCGGCACTCATCTCGCTTAATTGGCCGAGGGAGCCGGCGTACAGCCTCCGGGTCATGTGGCCAGCATGACTAAGCCGCTTCTGGCGAACCAGAGCAGTGCACAGAAACACCGTTTACCTTCCCACCGGAGCGGTACCTATTTATCTACTTGCACTTTGACGTGCTTTCGAACTGCTAGGTTGGCAGGAGCATGGACCGAGCAACGGGAGCTCACCCCGTTGCGGGGATTCAAACCGCCGACCTTCTGGCAAGTCCTTGGCTCTGTGGTTTAACCCACAGTGCCACCCATGTCCCATATAGTTAAAAGTAGAAGTCAGCAAATGTGTCCTCTTTTTTGCTCTTTAAAATATGGCAACCC